CAAGCCACTGCACCCTGGTGTTCTAATCACAGTTTTCAATCTTGCCAACTCATGGAAGATAAAACATAGGAAATCCTTGTTTCAATCGGGGGATAACCTGGAAAGAAAGCTTGGCTCCCTGTAGCAGCCCTTCTTATTAATCAGCTTTGTATATAAATTGCAAGCAGCTAATAGCCAAGTTCCACTGAAAGCATGGTGTTGCTAAAGTTGTGTGTGTTCATGTAAGTTTCACAGTAGTATTTTTTTTAATAGAGATATATAAATGCACTCCTTAAAAAGCTATTACTACAAAACAAGATGGGGATCATTTAATTTAAAGATGTGTGGGAACTGCCTATTCTCTGACAGCTTTGAGATAACTGTTGGGTTTGCCCAAGATGGCCTTAGATTTTGGCACAGTGTGATTGGAGCATTTAGTTTTTTACCTTGCAGAATTGTGGGGGCATCCCTGGCACTCAGGACTCTTCTACCACATCTTTTCTGGTGAGGGTTTGGCTCCTATGGCACCTCTGGCTCCTATAGCACTGGTGTGTCAGAGGATGGCTGGCTCTCCCAGTGCTATACAGAGTGTTTGAAACAAGCAGTATCAGTTGTGAAAGAATTTGTAGGTCCCATGCCTCTGCATTAGAGAAACTCTTTTGAAGGCAGTTTCTTTAATGAGTGAATTCTTTGAAATATGTAACTTTGTACACATTTCCAGTCACTAAAACGATGTATTCTTTTTTTTTTTTTTTTTTTTTTTTTTTTGCCTTTTTAAGAAATAAAATGTTAATACCCACATTGTAAGATGTCAGCAGTGCCTGTTTTATTTTTAAGCTCTGGACAGTAAACTTTGCCATGGAAAGGAAGTTGTCAGGAACAAAAGCTTCCTCAAACCCCTTTCCTCTCTGCAGCCTGCATTAGCAAAAGCGAATTAACCCTTCAGGCAGTGTATCCATATGCACTGCTGGTGCTGTATTCCTTTCACTTTGAGGGTAGGTAGGAGAAGATGTAGTGCCTGAGCTAATTACTTCCTTGCACAATGTAGAGAACATAAGTAATGCAGACCTGAGCCCACTGCTCAAAGAACTGCACAGTCCTTCCTGCCTATGTGCTCTGTAAATGCAGGTGTTGTTCCTGATTTATGTCCTGCTGTGTTTTTCCTCTGTCAGCTGTACAGACTTGAAAAAAGTCTATAGCTTCCCACATAGTGCCATCTAAACAGTTCAGTGAGGTTGGATTAATGTGATTTCTTTCAATTCACCAACTAGAAATCAAGTGATTTTTAGCAAGAAATCTGTTTGTTCAGTATGCTCTGTCCTTGTCCCATTTCTGCTGCTTTGTTCCATTTCTGTCTTGAAAATTAATCCCTCAAAATCTGTTTAAAAGCCTTGTGTACTGTTGCAGTCAATTCACGTAGCTGCACTTTTCCTTTTTCTCTGTCCTTTTCTCACTCTTCCACCACTTCAGTTAAAATTCTTACTACAAACATGATGACTGTGGACTCCAGAATTGCTGTTTTTCTTTCAGTATGTACTCTGTACCGTTTCCTCCTGCTTCTATCTGAGCCTTTTTCTATAACTTTGCCTTATTTTTGCTTCAGCGTTCTATTTTGGAATCCTTATTAAAACTGTAGCAAAATACCAACCTCTTTCAGGTCAAGTCTTGACTAACTTTTGTCTTAGCCATGTTCCCACTGCGTAGGTCTTCTCTCTGGGGATCTGTTGGAGTGCCAAGTGCAGCTGAGCAGACCCTCAGTCCAAGCTGAGTGGATGGGAGCTAAGTAGTTTTATGTCCCTTTCCAAAAAGGAAAAAGGTTTTTCCAAAAAGGTCTTGCCCGTATTATCCACGCATGGGGCAACTCTTTGCTAACCCTGTGAAGAAAGCACTGCATGGGGTAGTTTTCAGGAACTGCTGTTTGAGTGTGGGGAAGAAAAAACAAGGTTAATTGCAGTCAGCAGCATCCTTGGCAGTAGGCTCCCTTAAGTTGCTGCAAATTGTGATTGTTTGTTTTCAGTTTAGTTGCCTAATGTTTAATTTTTGTCCTTTTTCTAATTTTTCCCTTTCCTGTGCCTAAACTTCAAAACAACAAATCATCGTTTTCTCAATACTGTGCCTTTGCAGTTCTTGGAGAATTTAAGACTCATCTGGCCAAATAACGACTGCTAGGTTTTAGGTCAGAAGAATTCCAACCATCAGGCTATTGAAATATACTTAGTATGTAGGAAGAAATAAATCTACAATTCAAACTATTCATGCTTGACAGGGAGAGTAATTAGTCACTAGAACAAAGATGCTGTGGAATGTCTATTGTGTGAGGGTTTCAAATTAAGATTGGCTGTCTTGCAAAAAGGTGTCTCACTTAAACAGCAAGCCCTTCTCCAAGAGCAAGTCCCTCTGGAGGAAATTCCCAGACATCTATATTACAGAAGGTCAAGTAGACAGGAAAGGTCCCCTCTGGCTTTAAAACCTATTTATAAGGAATAGTGGCCAGGAGTTCAATTCCTCTTGTCAGCTGAGTCTGAGTTCTTTGCTGCAGGTGCTGTAGTGGGGACAGGAGTAAAGCACTGACTCCTCCTGTGCTGCTTTTCTATCCCAAAGTGAGTTTCAGCTCTCATCTGCCAGCAGTGAGTACTGGGAATTCAGGAGCTGGCTGGCACGTGGCTGATCTGGTGGCACTGACCCAGGGCAGGTTTCCACTTAGGATCAAAAAGAATCAGCATGGACACTTCAGCTGCTTGCTCTCTTCCCTTTTCCCCACCACCTTCCCCTTGGTTCATGTCATCCTCTTCCATCCAAAAGAGATACCTGGTAACTCTATGAGAAAGTGGGACTGAGACAAGGTCACCGTGTGGGAGAATACCTGAAACTGTTTCAAGGCTGCTATCTCAAGACAGGCCAACGGAGAGGAGAAATTGAGGCTCTATTGTTGGACATCACTGGCAAGGACGAGGCGTCATTGGCAAGGACTGTCTTCTCTATGTCCTTGGCAGTTCTGCATGCTCATGTCATGCTTGGACTTCCATGAGCCCCAGGTTTCTGCCTTCATCATGTACCTCAAGGTAGAAAGCAGCCTTAGCGCACTTGCCCGGTTCTAGCACAAACTGGTTCTGGTGTGTCCAGGGTTTCTGAGCTTGTGGGCATCATTGTGAGAATCATTGAATCATTAAGGCTGGAAATGACCACAAAGATCATCTAGTCCGACTGTCAACCCACCACCACCACGTAGGAGCCTCTGTAGGCTTGTAGTTGCCTTCGATGTGTGTTTCATTAAGCCACCTTTTCATTAATTGTTTACTGTGGGGTACAATAAAAATCCTTCCTGGCAGCACAAATTCCATTCTGAGCAGGAAGTTCCTCTTCACTTTGCCCCATTCAGCTCCAGTTCAGGAGCAACAACTCCCATGAAGGGTTTCTCTGGATGCAGTGTGTACGTGAGGGAGAATGAAGGAGTTCAAGGCAAATGATGCAACCCAGCTGCTGTCGTGTGGCTTCTCACTGCTGCAATTCAGCTGAAGAAATGAGCACTGCCATCTCACTCCAGGGGGTTGGAGAACAATTATGCAGCCAGATGAGTTTATCAAAATGAAAATATTTTCGTGTGTAGCCATATAATGGCAATTAAAAAGCCACACTGGAAAGGAAATGTCAATAGCAGAAAGATGGGAAAGACACACAGAGAGAAACTCAATCGTTTTAAAGGGCAGTGGTTTTGTTTAAGAAGTAGCTGATACCTCCTGACAGCAAAGTTTTGCAGCACGTGTAATGTATTTAACCTTATTGAGTGAGAGTGCAGAAATGTATTTAAAATCCAGTATAAAAGCACAAGGGGAGAAACAGTGCTGCACACACCTCAGGAATGGGATTTGGATCCCAAATCCATCAATAAATAATTGAATCTTTACAGTTGGAAAAGACCTCTAAGATCTAGTCCAACTATCTGCCCATCTCCATTATGCCCACTAACCATGTCCCTCAGTGTGACATCTCCATATTTCTTGAAAACTCCAAGGACAGTGACTCTGCAACTCCAACCTTCACAGGCTTTGCTTCCTGGAGACTTTCGAGGACCGACTGGACCACACTCTGAGCAGCTGGCTGAGCTGTAGATGGCCTTTAAATGTCCCTTCTAACTCTGAGGATTCTGTGACTCTATGATATGCTTGTGTTGCTCTGCCAGTGCATGTGGCTCGAATCCCAGGGACCAAGTAGGAAACTCAGCTCTCTCTGCTGATCAGTGTGAAGGATGCCTGTTCCTCTGGGGCATGGCCAATGGGCATCATTTATCTACTGTCCTACTGGCTGAGGCTAAGTGACATTGACAGTGAAGAACAGTTTTCCTTCAGAGCCACACTGGGGAACAGATTGGCTCAGCTCATTTCTGCAGCACATTTCTTTGTCCAGAAAGAGCATGGGGATCAGCAGAGGACATAGGAAGAGTCTTGAAGCCTTCACATGATCTGCAGCTTTTTAGTTTGGGTGAGATCTCTCCAGCAGACACCTTTTACTTAATCTTGATATAGTTGCTCTTCAATGTCTGTCTGAGAGCAGATCTGAAGAGAAATGCCTATTAGCATGGCACCTCCCCAGCAGAACCTGTCCAGTTGGGGCTGACCCAAGCTCTGTCAATGGAGGTGAATGGAAGAAAATGAAATAAATGGATGGAAGGTGACAAAAAGAATAAGCTCTCAGGTTCAAGATGCCAACTAGCACAGACTAGCATAGAAATGTAATATGAAACATGCTGACTGAGATAGTTGTTTAATTGGTTATGGAATCATGGAATCATAGCATCGTTTGAACTTGAAAGGACCCTTAAAGGCCATGTAGTCCAATTCCCCTGTAATGAACAGGGATGTCTGCAGCTTGATCGGGGTGGTCATAGGCCCCTCCAGCCTGATCTTGACTGCCTCCAGAAAGGAGGGACTGAAGGATCATAAACTAGCTTAGTGCCTTGCCAGGGAGTTGCATACTTCCCATCTACCCCATGTTCTTTTCTTCTTCCTCTCCAGGATATGCACTTACTTCCTACTCATTTCTGCTGCTGGCCTGGAACAGACTGAAACATCTTTTTGGATCTGGAATATCAACAAAACATTCCCTGCTATCCTGTGCTTCGTATGTGTCTGCAGCTGATCATCGTGACCTAAGGGTAAGAGTCCTAGAACCTGGGGTGTGTCCTGCCAATTGCTTATAGACAGGTGAGAACACCTACCTGCCCCTGCTAGCCCTGCTGGCAAAGCTGTGGGAGCCCACAAGGAGGTAGCTGTGGGGTGAGCTGGTGCCCCCCTTGCATTGCTCTGTGTGGTGGCTGCTGAAAAGCTCCATTCCAGATGTAAGACATGAGACCCAGTACAAAACACAAGACATAGGAATGGTCAGGATGGAAAATGCATCTCAGTAAATACAAGTTAATAGGTGTGGCACACAAAGCCTCCTTTATCTTCAAGCAGCAAGATATGAAGTCAAAACTTACCACACCTCTAACCCATGTTCCCTTTCCCTGAGTCCAGAGGCTGCAAGAGAGCTCAGCAGATGTCAGGCCAGGCAGCCTAGCCCTGCAATGTCCAGGTGAGCAGCTGAACTTAAAAAACATGTCACGGTGATGAATGCTCTTGATACGGGGATGAAGACGACTGTGTTTGTGCCTCCAGGTAAAAAATGTGAAATGCTGAGAACCTCTATGCTGCCTACAGGGGATATAGAGCGGAGGGACAATTGCACAAGAGTGTTCATAGATCCAGCACAGAGAATGTGTGCAGGAGATGATTGTATCTGAGTCCTACAGTCCACAGCTGCAAGATAAAGGTACTGAAAGCTGGGGGAGGTCTGGGAGCCCATGACCCTGCTCAGGCTGACAAGTGGTAGTATGAACATTCAGTGAGCATTGGGTAAGCAGGAAAGAGGACAAAACAATGATATCCTCACCATCACTACTTTCATAGGGACTCCAAGCTCCGTTTCCTCTCCATGTGCATGCTGGTTCTGTTGTGCTAAAAGAACACGGTCAAGGAGCCTAGAGAAATGGTCACCTTGTGAGTCCGTTGTAGTGGGGGCTGAATTGCTTCACTGACTGTGTTAATGATGGGCTCAGCCATATTTCTAAATGGAGATATGTGGAGACATTTGAGGTGCCGGTCTCCCCCAGGCCCTATGTCATAGAATCATAGAATCACAGAATCGTAGAATGGCCTGGGTTGATAAGGACCACAATGGTCATCTAGTTTCAACCCCCTGCTATGTGCAGCATTGCCAACCACCAGACCAGCCTGCCCAGAGTCACATCCAGCCTGGCCTTGAATGCCTTCAAGGATGGGGCATCCACAATCTTCCCGGGCAAGCTGCAAGCCCTGTGTAGATGTATTAGGGTGTCCTCTCTCTGTATGACAGGGTCATATCCTGGAGATGATGGAACTTGAGCTGAATTCCTCAACCAGGAGATTATGGCTTGAGCAGGAGCCGAAACTCAACAGATCTCTATATTTCTATTTCATTTGTAGTAGCATGTCCATTTCCATAGAGACATAAGAATGCACAGGAACCAGACAAAAGCTGTGTCTGTCTCTGTGCTCTGTCTCCAGCAACAATCTCTTACACCTCCCTGCCCTCGTTAGAAATGCTGTTACAGGGAGCAATAAAAGGCATACAAATGAGGTGGCTTTTCAGTTCCCAAATATTCTTCTTTGTTTGTTTTGAGCTATAATAAAGTTGGTTGAAACCAACTTTCTTGAGGAGCCAGAGTAAAGCTGCATTTGCATCATAACTGAAAGGAGTTTGTTGGTTTATACTGGGAAGGGAAACCTCATCCTCTGTCCTAAGGAAAAATTTTGATGTAGTTTCATAATTAAAGCTTTCCTTATTCTAATTTCCTTACTGGAAGACATCTTCCTTGCCAGACAGGCTTGCATTGTTCTAGATGGTTTTTCACTGTTCCAGGTTGTATATGAGAGTACGGCAATTCCTTTCTGGATGAACCTGAAGGGAACCACATAGATGGTTCATCTTTCTGGCCTCCATCAATGGGAAATGGTCTCAGGTGGATGTTTTCTGTCAGATCCAGCTGCCTGGGCTATCAGAGCTAAAGATGTCATAGTTCAAGTGAATGCAGCAGGCTGCCTGGTGAGGTCTGCACCAGGATTCCCTGCCCTCTTAACCAAGCACAGTAAGGCATCTGTCACTGGAACTCATCATTTCACGTCAGGCTTTTAATATGACTGTGCACTGGCTCTGGCCATGAGAGGCAGATCCAGAGCATGGGGAGCTATCCTGCATGGCTAAGATCAGGGTAATACTTTCCATTCAGTATGAGTCACTGGGGCAACTTGTAGTAGCTGAATTTTGTGTCTTAGCTGGTATCAGCTCAGTTACTAAAACAATTAAATTTTCATTAAACCTCCTGGGCTTACTTGCAGCTTCTGAACCCCACCCAGCATAGAAGAGCAACTTTCTGTTGCCCTTTAACTTTGCATTCCCTTTCTTGTTTGCATTGCTTTAGGTACTCTCCAGCCAAATTGTTGCGTGACTGAGTCCTTTCCTCTTTTATATTTTGTGCTCTCTCAGGAAATGCTTACAGTGCTATTGGCCCCTCAGGAGGAAAGAAGCTGATGGGAGAGGAGAGGTCAAGCTAAGAATCCTGCTCTGAGTTGGAGTAACAGAAATAATAGCATCTGATCCCCAGGAGATCTACAGCTCAGTGCATCCCAGCACAGCTGCTACCCAACCAGCACATCTGGCCTTGGCCAGAAGAGTCTGGCTCTCCCCTCAGCCCTCCTGCATCCATAAATGATGTGGTCCGGAGAAGGGCTGTGGGATCACTGATTACCTCCTGTGCAAGCATTTTCTCTGGGTGACAATCTCCCACCTTCCCTCCTATTGAGGCTGGGTTTGCTGGGAGGAAAACCCATGGGACAGAAAGCAGCAAAGCAGGAGAGACTCTGGTCCTGAAGAAATGGTTCTTCTTCATTTCAGTTCAGTGACTTTAAAGCCTTGAATCCTATTCTCAGTGTGAGGGAATGGGTTTGAAGAATCAAAAAGAATCAAAAAAAGAGACTCACACAATGAGGGAGACCTCACTGTGGCCTTCCAGTATTTGAAGAGAGCATATAAACAGGAGGGGGAACGGCTGTTTACAAGTGTGGACAGTGATAGGACAAGGGGGAATGGTTTTAAACTGAAACAGAGGAGGTTTAGGCGAGACACTAGGAGGAAGTTTTTCACTCAGGGGTGGTGAGGCACTGGAACAGGTTGCCCAAGGAGATTGTGGATGCCCCATCCCTGGAGGCATTCAAGGCCAGGCTGGATGTGGCTCTGGGAGCCTGGGCTGGTGGTTGGCGACTCTGCACATAGCAGGGAGGTTGAAACTCGATGATCTTTGTGGTCCTTTTCAACCCAGCCCATCTTATGATTCTATGATGGTACGATTCTATGATCTCCCCTGAGCTATACAACCCCCGACAAACACCTAGGATTGAGTCCTGAATTCCCTTGCAAGGCATTGCTTCAAAGAGAAATACGGGGGTAAAAAACATTATGTATTTATAATCCAGGGAAGAATAAGTGGGAGCAGAAAGTCTCAGAGTGGCAGTCTGTGGGTCCTCCCTCTTGCAGGAGTTGTGTCGGGGAGGAGCGCTCTCCCTGTTAATGCTATAGGGCACGCCCGGCCCCTGCCAGCTGCCTGGAAGTGAGGAGTAGCAATGCAGAGCTTTCCCACGCTGGAGACCCTTTGTAGGTCTGGGCAGGAGCCTGTGTGTGCCTTCAAAGCAGAGAGAGCAGCAGCACCGCCCTGCCCCTAGGCGGGCAGGGAGAGGTTGTGCGCTGAAGATAGTGTCATGTACTACAGAGACAGACTGTACAAAACATTTGCTATTCAATCCTTTTGGTATTTTCCCTTCCCATGACCTGTTCTATGCTCAGCCCTCATATGCATCTCTTCCGTATTTCAGTGCCTTTGAGATTAATTTGTCTTCCATGTTTCATCCTCTTTCATTAGGGCATTCTCCCTGTTGCTTTTCTTCCTCTTTGGTCTTTTTCCCTCTGTCCTCCTGTTCCTTCTGCCTGGTAATCCAGCAGAGCCCCCGGCCCCTTGTCTGCCTATGGCTCACTGGGGATAGGATAAGCCGCTGTGGAACAATCCAGGAGCTGGGGCCACGTGGGAGCTGGGAGCTCTTGCTCTGGGCTACTATCCAGACACGTTTTGCTGAGGTGTCCTCATAGTACATTCCCAGCATTTTATCAAAGAGGTGACGCTGTCACGGGTTTGTTTATCATTTCCCTTCAGGGCATGGTCTCTTCATGGCTTCTTCCTTCCATTTTTGAGGAGGAAATGTTTGCAGTTCTGTCAGCCCCTGGGAGGAAAGTAAGTTACAAAGGGAGCAGGGCTAATGAAAGTTTTTTCCTGAGCAAAGGTAACACTGCTTTATGGTCACCTATGCCCTGAACATGTGGGAACAAAGCTCAGCACTCGAGGACACTGAGCGGGGAGCTAGTCACCAGAGGAATGAGCAGGGCATCAGGGACATGGCCATTGTGCAGAGACACTTTTGTCTCTGTTCCTCCAGCAGCTCCTCTCTCCACCACCCTTCGCGGTCTCTGACACTGATGGGTTCTTGACTCCTGCCATGCCCAAACCTTACGTCTCTGACACATCTCCTCCTCACACGCCTCCTGTGCACTTGCTTGGCTGTTTCAGCTGAGCTTCGAGCAAATCTGTCCTGCCCCTTCCTTCATCTTCCTCTTTTGTTGAATCACAGAATTGCAGGGGTTGGAATGACCTCAAGAGATCATCGAATCCAACTGCCCTGTGATAGCAGGCTCCCTACAATAGGTTGCACAGGTAGGCATCCAGGCAGGTCTTGAATATGTCCAGAGAAGAATACTCCACAGCCTCTCTGGGCAGCCTGTTCCTGTGCTCTGTCACCCTTACAGTAAAGAAGTTTTTCCTCACGTTCATACGGAACTTCCTGTATTTCCTTTTGTGCCCGTTGCCCCTTGTCCTATCACTTGGAACCACCAAAAAAAGCCCAACCCCATCCATATGACTCCTGCCCAACAGATATCTATAAGCATTGATGAGATTCCCTCCTCACCCTTCTCTTCACAGCCCCAGCTCTAAGCTTTTCCTCATATGGGAGATGCTCCAGTGCCACAGCCATCTCTGTGTCCCTCCACTGGACTCTGCAGTAGTTCCCTTTCTTTATGAACTGGGCAGCCCAGAACTGGGCACAGTGCTGCAGATGTATTCTCACCAGGACAGAGAGAAGGAGGATCACCTCCCTCGACCCACTGGCCATGCTCTTTTTAATGCATCCTAGGATACCATTGGCCTTCTTGGCCACAGGGGCATACTGCTGGATCATGGGCTCACTGAAGACAATGCCAGTGTCAGGGAGGGACACATGAAGGACTTTCTTTATATAGACGGATGTAAACCCCTGTCCCATGGTGCTCCATGCCATGGCTGTGACCTGGGGCACGCAGACCCCAGACTGGTTTCTGCTTTATTTATTCCAGCAGAAGATCTGTATCTTTGTCACTGTGTCAAGAAGACCTGCACATGTATGAGTAAAACAAAACAAAAAGAGACTCTCAGGGTCCTTTGAGAGGATTTGCATTTTGGGAGTCCTCTATTATTTTCTACTGCATCATCTTTTCCTTCTGTACCCCCTAATGTCTGCACTGTTTTGGGAACATGACAGAACACTGCACTGAGGAACTCACTTAAGAGCCAGGAGAAAGAATGTAAAATGCAACAAATGTTGGAAAACAAGGAAATCTTGTTTCATGATGTGAGTCCTTGCTACTAATTTTAG